TAATCAGATCATAAAATCATAAGATTCTTTATAGTAATTATCAACTCTAGCTCGAAATATCGAAGTATTCATTATAATTTTAACGTTATATATAATATATTTTATAGTAACGAGAAAAAAAATTCGTATAATAAATTTAATTTAAATACGAATAAACAAAAATATGACTTCATTCGAGAAATGTGCCTACACACGAGAACAATATGATAACATTTTGAATACAATTGTTAAGCACACGAAAAAGAAAAAAAAACTGGTGAAAATACTAGCATTGTTTATTAGTTCGGGTCAACAACGAGGACGACTGTGTAACGAGTTTAACGTGACTACGCAAAAGATAACGAATCCTCTGGTTTCTCAAGAACTCAAGGTCTTTCACGATAGGAAGTTAATCACCGTGCGGAACGAGAGTACAAGATCGAGTTTGCCTTTCAGCGGATCCATTCTTCGAAGAAGCAAGAGAAAGAGCAAGAGAAAGAGAAAGAGAAAGAGAAAGAGAAAGAGAAAGAGAAAGAGAAAGAGAAAGAGAAAGAGAAAGAGAAAGAGAAAGAGANAAAGAGAAAGAGAAAGAGAAAGAGAAAGAGAAAGAGAAAGAGAAAGAGAAAGAGAAAGAGAAAGAGAAAGAGAAAGAAGAAGAAGATGAGAGAGAAAGATCACGTACGTGAAAATCGAGTTAAGTCTTCCCGATGGTGCATTACGCGTCGACAAAGAACATGTTCTCCTCTCGCGAAGAGGAATCGCGAAAAAGGGGAGAAAGGGGGAGAAACGTATGCTGCTGTGGGCAACGGTCGCGGTGAACGAACGAACCGTGATGCCTCCATGAGGGTTTCTTACCCTGTAACTCGCCGGAGTAATCGAATTCGGGGTGCCGCATTAAGGGCTTTCGATCGTCTCCGATATAAGATACACATATATATATATAGTAGTACATAGACTAGATACATATACTATACCAATACATATAGACAGTTACACCGCGACGACGTGATCAGTCGCGCGCGGTAATCCACTTTTTGAGGGAAAAATAAACGAACCTTATCCCTCCGATCGATATCAACCTTCTTTTTTACCTTCCAGACAAACTTTAGCTTTTTTTATTCTTTTTTTTTGTTTTTTTATTTTCTTTTTAAAAGTAAATGACCTCTACTGCGAACGCATAATATGTCGTAACTTTCTATTACCTTATTTTTCGTGGGGATGCACCGATACAACTACCAGGCGCAATTGCGCTTTATTTTTGAATGAAACTCAATTACTTTTCTCTTTTTATTTTATTAATCTCTTTTATTATTCTGCGTATAAATGTTTAAATCCCGAAGTCATAGAAATGTCAATACTTTACGAGATATTTGATATGCAGATAAAAAAGAAATTGAATAAGGTTAAAAAATAAAGTGCAATTGCACTTGGAGAGTGTAGTTACGACGTGTTATGCCATATGATTTGTTGTTCCATTATTTTTTCTATTTTCACTTGAAAAAGGAAACAATAATCCGTCCAAATTCTCAGAATTATCCTGTACATTGATATATGTTAGTATGTTGTTAAGGTTCAAGTATTTTTCATTCTCACTAGACTATATATTCAATAGCATTATTTCTGAACATAATTATTTCCATATGTTCCAGGGATAAGATAAAATTAAGTATACAATTTATTTGGCGGATAATCGTGTTAATTTTTATAAATGACGTTATAGATATAATATTTCTTTATCCCTTATCTGTTAAAAGTCATTAAAAGAAGAGAGGATGACAAAAAAAAAATTTCCAACTATCTGAGCACATCTGATCGAAAACTAACGAAAAAGAAACAAACGAGAGGAAGGGTTAAAGTTACAAGGGTGAAAGGATAAAAAAAAAAGAAAAAGAAGAAAAAGTAACCTGAGAAAGACGAAGAAGTTACTAGTTGATAAGAGTTCAAGATACGAAAAGAAGAGCATTAGCGAGAGTGAACGAAAAGAGGATAAAGTTGACGGATAGAAAAAAAGAAGCAAAAGAAAGAAAGAGAGAGAAAAGACGTCATGCTTATTCTTCTCTTTTTCTTTTAGATATAGCTAACGAGAGAAGCTTGGTAGCGAGTGAAAGACACGCTCCACCGGGAACGGATACTCGGCAAGTTCTATTAAACGCGTTACATCCGAGCTAACTCCCGAAGGAGTAGCAACACCGAAGAAGGAAGTTGACAGGAGAACGACCGTCTGCGGATGCGTATATGTGTGTGTATGTGTATGTGTTACAACTATACTATCAGAATCAGCAGCGTACTATTACTGCTTTGCTGAGAGGATGCACTTACAAGAGGACCTTCGAACTTATCAACTTGATGTTTGGACAATAGCGGTCTCAAACGAAAGGGGACGTTAAGTATAATACGTCTGCGGTGTATCAAAGGTTTCTAACGAGTAATTTTTTAAAACAATTTCAAAAGCTTTCAAAGTTTATAACTTTGATGCCGGTGAATGGAACCTAATGGAGACTGATGAAACTTGACATTATATGAACAAATGTTATTTAACGTTGACATTTCTTATCAAATTTTATTAATAATTTTCAAATTAATATTTTTTTTTATTCACAAAATACTTATCTCTTATTAGAAATTCATGATATTTTTAATGATAATTTTCATCCGATATGACAAATTAGTTTCGTTGAAAAAGTTTAGGTTTATATTATGTTAAGATATTTTCTTATTGAAGATAGATCAATCAACGTGGCAAACTTTTATAAAAAAAAGATTTTCTTCGTTCATCCTCATGCGTTCCTCGTCATCTTTGTCGCATGTTGAGAACGAAGAGAGTTTGCATTAACCTCTTCGCACGCGACGCCGAACCTTGTCGATGGAAGGAACCACTTTCGAATACTTAATGAAATGTAGTATCTGCATTTCAAAGAGCCAAAGGATACCTTCCCAATTAACGTCCCCCAAGAATTTCATTTTCGGCTTGTAATTGACATTCGACGACTAGATGCTTGAACTAAAGTACTTTGAGGATTTTTGTAAGATACTCGTGTCGTATTAACGAGAACATGAAGATTTATTTCTTCGAAACATTTCATTTTTATTTTTATTTTACTATAATATTGAATAGAAATTCTTCGAAATATTTGCATTAAATTATTTGATCGTGTATAATTATTATTTGTTATGAATCGGAAAAGTTTATCTATCTATCGAAAATTACATACACATAAAAAGAATGTAAGAATTTATTATAATTCCAAGATAATACGTTGGGAGCCACTGCGTATCATTATTTGGAGAAGCACGTTGCGCGTTTTCCTCGATCGAGGAATTCGTAACGACACGACACGACGACGGGATGGTTTCGAAGACCCTTTTTAACCATTCGACTCGGTTCGCGCGAGCCCTGCCAGAAGTAGACGATAAGATTATCTCGAACGTCGTCCTTCCTCTTTCCTTTACGGTTCTTGCGCGAAAAGGATTCGCGATGGTGGGAGAAAGTCGAAGGCTGCCTTCATCGAGTACTCGAGTATCGAAGAAGAAGAAGAAGAAGAAGAAGAAGAAGAAAAAGAAGAAGAAGAAGAAGAAAAAGAAGAAGAAGAAGAAGAAAGAAGAAGAAGAAGAAGAAGAAGAAGAAGAAAAAGAAGAAGATGAGGATGAGGACGGATCAGTGAAATCCCAAAGAGGACTCTCGTCCTACGGAATCGTCTCAAATCGCGTCACGTAGAGTAAACAGGCTCTGCTGAGTTTGCTGGCCAATTTCGTCGTGGCGTCTTACTTCCCTTTCGTTTCCTCTCCTCTCTTTGCTCCTTCCCCCCCCCCTTTCTACTCTTATTCTTTTCAAGAGAAGCGAAACCTCGTCGAAAAGTGTAGGAACCCATCCGTTCTCTTTTAATCCAACGCCACCAACTAACTTACCGGCACACCTCGACGATCTCAAGCCGAGGCCAATTCGAAAGATGAGCCTGTATATTACGAAATTATCGTTATTCCCGTGCTAAAAGGAAAGAGTAGGGAGGGTTCGAGGTACCCTACTAGTCGAGCCTCAGGCGCCACCTTTTTTCGCTTAAAATATGGAAAACGTTCCGCTCCGAGAAGGCATCGTCGTCTCCCTTTCTTCTTCTTCTTCCTTCTCCTTCATCGTCCTCCTCGATGAGCCTCGGAAGCCCGTAATGGGAACTAGAACCGAGATGAGAGGCACGCTCTACTCAAGCTGGGCTATTAAAGGAGGTAACTTCGAAGAGAAGAGAGAAAGAGATAGAAAGAAAGAAAGACAGAGAAAAGGCGACGTTCCTCGGCACGTTTATCGTCAGAAAGAAAAGTATCTTTTTCTTTCTCTTTCTTTCTCTCTCTCTCTCTTTCTTTCCCTCGATCACGATTAGGATTCCAACGACGAAACGTCCCAACGTGTTGGTTCGTCGCGAACGAGCCTCGAAATTGGATTACACCGTCCTTCGAATTTCTCTTTCTCTTACGCACACTAATACAAGGGGTTTGAAGTGCAAGAACTCAGGAGACTTTAATGCGCTAGTAGATTAGGCGGATGCGTGGCGCGAAATAACGGAATGGCCGACGCTGCCGCTGAGTACGTTGAACGCGATATCTGAGACGATATATCCTAAGAGAGTAAGCGTAACGGCGTGTTCGCAATTAACGTCCTGGCAATTTGGCCGAACTCCGGTCTCTTTCTCTCAGCGACTTCTTCCTTATTCAGCGTCTCCGAGCAATAAATCATACCGGGTGGGCGCCACGAAATTACCTTGAGAAGGAGAATGAAGAATCTTATTCGCTTTCTCTTTCTCTCTCTTACTTCATCATTCTTTTAAATTTCGTCTTTTATTTTATCAATCTTCGAAAGACTTTGGACGATTATATTAATTGACACAGACGAAACGAGTAAACTATCCCCAATCGCTTAAGGGAGTTTTACCAACTGAAAACGATGAAATAGGACTTCTGGCTATGAAAGGAGATAAGAAGAAAGTAAGTAAGTAAGGAAGGAAGATAGATAGGAAGAAGAAGAAGAAACTTACCTTGTTCCGCATGTATAGCTCGCGGGCAGGCGAGCAGAAGCGCTAGCAGAAGCGCGAGCAAAGGGCGGAGTACGGCCGCGAGAGTGCTCGCGGTGAAGAACGAAGCCATCCTTGTCTTCAGCTGCGAGCCTCAGAGCCTCCTCCGTTCTCTCCTCCTCATGCCTCCTCCGGTTCCAGGAGGGAGGGACGTGGTCTCCTCCTCCTCCACCTCCACCACCTCCACCTCCTCTTCCTCCCGTCGCTCCAGGTCGTTCCTTCAAAGACGACGACGTCCTTCCTTCTTCTTACTCGGCACCACCACCAACAGCACCAGCACCAGAACTACCGATAACTACTACCGGAACCAACACTTCGACGACGACAACGACAAAGAAAACGATGCTGCCTTTGCTCTGCCAGGGGACCTCCAACTCCGTTTTTTCCCTTTTCCCTTTGGTGCATCTATCTATTGCCTCACCGATCACACCTCCTTCTTTTTTTTTTTGATTTCTTCTTTTTTTTAATGTTCTATTTTCTTTTCTTTCTTTCTTTTTGTCAACAAGACATCATCACCGTGACTACTAGATATATTTTTTTTTTTGTATTTGTTACATCAGCCGATAAAGACGTTCAGACGCTAGCTAACGATATATATCGTCTCTCCTGAAACAGATAAAAGTAAAACCACGTTAATTAAAATCTCGAAAAAAGGAAGTGTACACCCTCTCGGTCTTACGGTTATGTATACGTTTCTTCTATTACTACTACTACTACTACGACTCGCTATCTGTTGGGAAAAGCCATGTCTCCCTTCTCATTTTTCGTAACCTTCTTTTCTCCCTTTTTACTCACACTCTTTCTCTTAATGATTTCGCACGCGACCACCCCAAGACAGGCGAGCCTTTTCACTCGCAATCATACCAAGCAAATTTACGCGCGACTCGATTGCATCCTCACATTTTTCACCAAGCATTACTACCTAGTTGGAGTTCAGTAAGCAAGGGAAAAAGAATGAGAAAGAGAAAAAGCTACAAAATTCCTTTGAAAGAGAAGTCTTCCCCATTACTGCGTCTACGCGTCGGTTTGTATCGAAAAAGTGTCCGTCAAAAAAGCAATTTCGAAGTTTTCGTTGACGTTTAAACTTAACTGCTGAAGAGCGTACTTTATCGAACATCTTAGTTTTATCTCAACGTACGAGATCAGTTGATTGCCAGTCGAACAAATCAAGATTTGTGTTTTAATATTTTGTAGATTAGATTAACTTTCGTTATAAGATATTATTTGTGTAAATTATTATCCATGTACTTATAATATCTATTTAAATTTATAAAATTATATATACTTATTTACTTATATATATACATGTGTGCATCCATTATAAAAATAATTGATTCAACGGAGAATGGCTCCCTTTATAATAAACATAAAAAGGAAAACCATGTTACGCCTGGAAGACAATTACAATTTCTATAAAAAATGTCGTGACCTGAATACTCGGAAGCTATCTTCGAGGACGATCTCCACCTAAAAGCTATTGCTTTTGGGTTATTACCAAAAAAATCCCCTTCTTCAAAATTCAGACTTTCTGAGTTTTTTTTTCGGGCGAGAGAGACACAAAGTATTCAGGAATTACCCAAGAGAATAGTGAAATATGTCTCTCTTGACGCGGAAGGGTGCGTTTTTCTTTTCTCCTCGTTATTCTAAAGCACAAAGGCAAGAAGATAGAGAGAGAAAGAGAAAAAAAGAAAGAGAGAAACACAAGTTTACGAATAGAAGGGCACTACTGTTCTACTTGCCTTAAAGGTCTTGCCTTGCGATAGGAAACGACTATTCTCCCCTTTTTCATGAAAGTCAGCATTTTTCATTGTTATCGTCGTATCATTCGTATCTATGTAACGCGTTCTTCGAGCGAGCGTTATCGTTGCACAAAAAAAAAAAAGAAAAAAATAGGAAGATTAGCGAAAAGTGGTGCACGCCGCTTTGAAATGATACGTACGATTTAATAACACGAGGATTCCACAGTTCTATTAGAACTTCCTATGAACTATGACATTTGACAGAAGATTGGCGATTTTCCGTTTGTTAAAAGTTATATAACACTTGGAAGTGTGAAATGGTAGTAACTTTTCTTAGGACTTTGACTACAAAAGAAAAAGAAAAAGAAGAAAAAATAAAAGGAAACGGAAAGATCATAAAAAGATATTACTTTACAGAATACGACGAAAGTATTTTCGTCTTATGACTGAGCTGCTCTCTCTTAAAAGTTTTATCGTGAAGGTTAAGGACGACATAGTAGCGATCGAGCAAGCGAGTAACCGAACAGCTAGCAAAGCAGCAAGCTAGCTTGCTAGCAAGTCAACCATACCTAATATTGAGTTAACTTTAGCGAACAACGTCGAGGACGAACTTCGGAGACGCTTTTACGCGTCTCCATCGAGTAGTTCGCTTTCATTGCAGTCCTTGGCCAAGGCAAAGGCGGAAGAAATGCTAGAGAAGTAGCAAACTGTAATACCTATCCTCTTACTTCTTTATAATAAAATCGAAAAAAATACCACTTTTCGTAGATAACCCGAAAGAATAAATCCTTGTATTATGAATTCATCGTGCAGAAAGTATCTTCTTTTGTCAAAAACCTGGATTAGAACGTTCTCTCTCTGTCTCTCTCTTTCTCAGATTTCTTCCGTGCCATTTCCGGGTAACTGGACTCCTCTCAGAATATTTCCCTTTTTTTTCTTTCCTTTCTTTTTTCAAAAAGAAAAAGAAAGAAAAAGGAAACAAAAATTCAAACTTGAAGAAACGGAGGAGGAACGCATCGACATTCGCTAACGAGTCGCGGCCGGCAAAGGTAAAAGGATCAATCGATCAACTCGCCAGCACCTGCGCTCTATTAAGAGCGATGACTCTGCAGAGATCATTGTTTCTTTGGGTATCTTTCGAAGCGTGCCAAACGCCGTGGTAGGAGACAGATGGACGCACCTCGAGATTTCTTTCTTCATACTTATCTTTCCTTTTCTTTCGTTCAAACGAAGAAGTAAGAAGTCAGGAAGGAAGGAAGGAAACAAGGAAGGAAGAAAAGAACCTTTGGCCTTCCTCGCACGAGCCGAACAAGTTCGAGCGTCAAAAAGAAAAATAATCTCGTCGGTAGGGTGATAGATACGTACATGCATACAAATTCGAGGGCAAGGTTAAAGCCGTGTGGCTCTTGAGGAAGAACCGCGTGTTCTTCAATTCGATTATACATAGAGAAAACGAGAAAACATAGAGAAAAGAGTGAGAAAGAAATATAAAGAAAGAGTAGACGTCTGGGGGGAAAAACGAAGAAGAAAGTTTAGGGTTCGTTGCGGTGGTGGAAGGAGAATTCCGTGCTTGGGGTGGCGCGTTACGAGAAGCAAGGGGTTCCAGGATCAATACCTCGCGTTTATCCGTCTCTCTCGCGCGACAGAGAATGAAAGAGAGATAAAGAGAGATAAAGAGAGATAGAGATAGCGAGAGAAAGGGAAAGGGAGAGAGAAAGAGAGAGAGAGAGAGAGAGAGTGAGGGCCCCAGGGTCTGCTCGGCGTCTCGCCATTCTTCGCCGAAAGCGAAGAAGAAGAAGAAGAAGAAGAAGAAGGGGAGAGATAGAGGCGCTGCCTGACGAACGAAGGGACGAACAGAGAAAGAATGAGAGAGAAAGATAGGTAGAACGAAATTCTAGAGTGCCAAAATATAGTGAAGTGGCAAGGTGGACCGAGGATAGGGGAGAGGGGGAGGCGAAAGGCAGGCACACTTTAGAAGTTCTTCTAAAGCGGGCGAAGACCTCATCCCTCACTCCCTCCCCCAATCCCTCCCTCCTACCTCCCGTAATTCTCGCAGCTGCTTTAGCCAGAGCGTCAGCCAAGATGCATCCGCGAAATTGCAGACTCGAGTGAAACGCGCTAGCTAGCTAGCTAGCTAGTAGGTACGGACGACGGCGTTGCCTTCTTCTTATTGCTCGCTGGCTTTGCTCGCCATTGCTCGCGAGTGCCTTCGTCAAAAATTTAAGATGTCCTCCTCCACCTCTTACATTGCTCTCTCTCTCTTTACCCCGTCTTTTTCTCCTCAAGCTTTCTTCTTCTGCTCCTCTACCTCCTTCTCAGACAAGCTAGAAATCCGTAGTACCTCTTTTCAACGGGGCCGTTCTCTTTCAACTTTTTGACAAGACCCGGTAGCAATTGCCGAAAACAGCTCGACGTCTCGACAAAAAGAAAAAGAAAGAGGTAGAGAAGAAGAGATGAAGAGAAGAAGAGGACCGGTCGGTGATTCTTCGAGTGAGAAAGGAAGAGCTGCTCTAGAGATAGGATGTTAAGCATCCAACCGTTCCTTTGATAAGACACGATTTTCCATTTTTTTATCTCTCTCCATCTCGCAATATGTATATATATATATCTTGCTTTTTCCTTCGAAAGTAGACGTAAACACGAAGAGGATCGTCTGCCAGAGGGTCGCCCACTCAGAAGGTGGTTGGCCACCTTCTTCAGCGTGCAAAGGCCTTATACTACTCTTCCTCCTCATCCTCCCGCTTAGTCGACCACCCTCCTCGTTTCCGGAGCAGACCTCTTTCCAAGTACCCATGGCAGGTACGATGGATCCCGCCAAATTGCAAGATTTCGGGAGACTGGAAGCTGACTCGAGTGACTCGTGAAAATTTTAAGTTGCCTCTGATACGCCTTCGCTTCTCCTTCTTTTTTTTCTCTTTTTCTTTACTTCCTTCTTCCTCCCACTTCCTTTCTCTCCCTATTGATGTCGTATCGTCGACTCGATATTCTATTCGCCCTGTCGTCGACCTCGTCCTCATCCTCGTTCTCATCCTCGTTCTCATCTATCGCCTCAAATCGAGTGCGATAAAGAGACACGAGAAAGAGGAGAGACTATGGAGTACCTACTCTTCGTTCGCTTTCTACGAAATCTTCGAGTATACTTCAAGTATACGTGCTCAGTTCAAAGCCACGACAAATACCAGCTATACAGAGTGTCTGAGGTTTTTTTTCGTACTGTTCGTGTTGTATTATTCGTATTTTATTCTCAAAAGTAAGACAACAATTTTCTATAAACATAAGTCTCATTTGTAAAAGCATTATTCAAAAGTTATAATATAAATTGTAAAACTCTTTAAATGTGTTGTTCACCTTGGAGTGATTCAACGAATTCTTTTCTGAACAATTGTTTGGCCGCTTGTATCATCATCACCTTAATAAATTTTTAATATTGGGAAAGACTAAAACAAAAAGTTTATGTAACTGAGATAACTATACTTGACGTTCTGGTCGACTGAATTAGAGATGCAGGTTGCAGAAATTAATAGAAATGCATAATAAATTTACCATGTTAGAAAGAGCATACTACAGTACTGTCAAATTGGTATTCGCTTAAGTGGGCAACACTTTTAACAATACATTTAAATAATTTTACAATTTTTATTATAACTTTTAACAAAGTATTAAATGACTTATGTTTATAAAACATTTATGTCTTATCTGTGAGAGTATTTTAAGCTCACAACGTATGTGCAAAAAAACTTTAGACCCTCTGTATATTAACGGTTCATTTTTTTCGAGAATTTATGATACTTTAGGTATCTATCACTGTTACCATCCCCACAGCTTCTTCGACTAATTCAAAGGGAAACGAACCCCTTTTTTCATTTC